TTAATGTTTTTATTATCCACATAAAAATCCAGAACTTTACAGCATGGTACTACAGAACTTCTTCCTTGTTTCTCTCTGCTTCCCTGGCAGAACATAGCACTGTTTTCCCCAGCTTCTCTAATCAACATATCAACATGGGCTCCTTTGATTTAATTTCACCCCTCCAATGCACTCTTGTCCTTTCTGCTGTTCGAGCAATTCTTGGCAGCTGCTCTCTCTACATCAAGTTCCCCGACCAAAGAATTGCTAGACCGTGAGAGCTGAGTGTTTCCCAGATCCTCCATTCTTGAGATGGAGAAACCAGATCCCAATTGGTGCTGGGCATCCCTGTGCTTCTTAATCCTAGACATTTCTGTAGCTCAGCTTGGGAAATCCCAGTATGATCTGCTACTCACTGCACCATCACTCAGAGGCCCCGTGTTGATGATGTCCATGGCCACAGTGAACATGTAAAATGAAGACACCCAGGTTCTGTTCTGTGGAAGGAGGGAGTGACTCGGAGGAACATGAGAGATACAGAGGAGTGTATGTGTGTGTGTGTGTGTGTGTATGTGTGTGTGAGTGTGTGATAGAAAGACAGAGACAGAGAGACAGAGACCTTACTTTGGCTCCAGGATACACACATCATGACCAGGGCCATCATCACATAACCACCAGGGAGGCAGTGCCTGGATGGCATCTGGTGCTACAATGTGGCTCATGGAGACACCAGGGCAATTCTGTGGACTGGTAGATTCTTCAATATGTTGAGTCTACAGCTGCTCTTATACCAGATACTCAAGTGTCTGTAAGTTTTCCTTAGTTAAGGACCATGGCTCTACACACACAGGCTTGTCTGACAACCACTTTAGGGGTGGGGGCATTGATATATCAGCAGTGCCTACCCCCCATAAACTTGAAAACTCAATCCCTGAAATATCCGCTATTTAGATGATTGACACAGCCTGGGATTGTTTTTGATGACTATATCAATACAATCCCCAGAATCATCTGACATTCCATCCATCATTTCATCATGAGCTGTCTCTGGAATTGCAGGAATATCAATTTGAATATCTCATTTTTGTAAAAAAGCCATTCCCCATAACTTCATTTGTCTGTCAGCTAGATAAGGTCACAACTCCCATGTTTTTCCTTCTGGCCCCACATATCAGCACATGATATACTTTGTTTTATTTCAGATAATTTTCTAATTTGTATAAACTGTATACAAACCTTCTGAAATACCCTCATACAGGAGTTGGTGAGAAAATTACTTTTGAAGTCTTTAATGTCTGAGAGGAGGTGGATGACTTTCCCTGAAAGGCTTAGCTACAGCAGAAGGCTACTCTCCAAACCCAAGCCTTAGCAGCTGCCCTGAGGCCAACCCCATCTCTGCAGAGTGTACAGGGTGGTTCTGCATGTCCCATCCCATCCAGGACCAGCCTAAGTCAACCCCACCAAGGGCCTGTTTAAACTGTGGTCACGAAAGACATTGGCCTTGCTGGTGCTTCAGCCTGCAGCAGCCCCCCAAGCCGGGCACTTCCTGCTAGAAGCCTGGCCATTGAAAGTTGGCATACCCTATGCAGGCTTGTCCCCTGTGCAGTGTGGAGTTTATGATCTTTTGGGAATAGCATTCTGAGTGGATGAAGGTAATAGGGCTTAGGGAAAGCAGGTTTTCAGTTGTCAATTTTAAATATAAGAAAACATGACTTGCTGAGAGTAGAGACACAGGATTTTGACAGAGTCACTCTCCTGCAGCCAACAGTCCCTGAAGCATCCACTTTATTTGAAGAAGGTCTGGGAATTTGAGAAGAGGAGAGTAAACATTGGAAGAAGATAATGGAAGAAAGGGATGAAAGAAGCAAAGAAGGAAGGGAAGGAAGGAGGTAGAGAGGGAGGGAGGGAGGAACCGATAGCCTAGTCTCAGTTAAAAAGATGGAGGAACTTTGGGGCTGACACATCCACACTGTTATTTGAGAATTTATTGGATTTAATGAAAGTTTGCCCAGAATGATAAGGAATAGCATGCAGAGTGTTTTTCATACATGAAATCTCAAAGACTGAGGTTACAAATGCTCACATAAATGTTGGAACAAATAAAAATAAATAAATGGTCTTTGTAACACTATCAACTTTAAACCCCAAACACCTTTCCTGACAAAGGGTACTAAAACTCTGTGTGCTTGTCCTGAGACCCCTTTAGCTCCTGAATCTTCTGGGGCAGAGTCTTGGTCCAGAACTGCAGCCTTTTGGCCTTCAGGGCTTGTCCCACAGCAGGCTGTGTGTTCAGCTGCAGGTACTGTTCATCTTGGTCCAACATGGGCCAGTGGGGTAGACCCTCGCTGTTGGGGTTGCTGTGGATATGACAGCCAGCAAAGAACAGTAAAGTTACACTCATCCACATCCAAATCCTGTGTTTTTGGTCAGGGCAGTGGAACAATTAGGACACTGGTTAAGGGGTCTGATGGTTAAGTGTCCTGATATGTGCATACAAGTGTCACTCATGAGTTTCTACTTCATGTGGAGGAGACTGTCTGATCTGTTTTATGTTACCTCTAAGAAACAAGATCTATGAAACAGTACCATAGCATAATTCACCAACCAGCTGGATCTCTGTGAGAGGACAAGTATTTGACACCTACAAAGTATCTGTATAAATGTGCTATTGTGCAGAAAAGACTGTATTGTACTGTGGAATATTCATGAATTCTCGAAGACCACCATCCAAAAGGGAGCCCTAGATAGGGACACACACATGTAAGGTTCAGGGGTGTGTTCTCACCCATGTCTTGCAAAGTTGGCCCAGTACTTCATCATCCTCCGGCTCAGCAGCTTCTCCTTCTCAGTGAAGTTAACTGAAGTCATGAGAAAGACAAAGTGTATGCCACCTCATGCAACTGCCAAATCAGAGTTCTTCATGCATCATTCCAGCACTGTCTGGTCCCCAAAGTATTGGAATTGTTGCCCCCCTTCTTCATTATCCAGAATCCAAGATTTGTGTAAGTTTCTAATTGACTTCCTGACCCAATGTGACCTCAGGTCCTCCATCACAGGCTAGACTGGAAAGGGTGAAGATTTTAAGCATTGTTTTGAGGCCATGATATGGTACACATTTGATTTTTTTTTCCCTCTCTCAAAACCTAGGTTTTCTAAAACAGACTGAAAGCTCAGAAGTCCCTACAGGAAGTCATTTGGGACCTTGTTCAGTTCAAGAGAAGAAAGGAAGACTCACGTTTCATGCCCCAGA